ATATAAATATCATTATTGTAATGAGCAACGTCATTATGGTAATGAGCTACGCCCCTTAAAACAATGAACGTGTACGTTCTGCGTTGACAACACAGGCGTCTCTTTAACATTAAGTAGCCGGTTTTATTTATATTAATAGTAGATGCGCACGCACCTCGTAGGAATTCAATAGACAAACAAGTAAGGGATTAATTAATTAATTAATTTTTCCTTACATTTCCTTTTTCCCTTATATTGGAGTAAAGAAGGAATTAATATTATTTAATTTGTAAATATCTCTACTGTCTTTGTTTTTAGGATGCGATTAAGTGAGCGATCTTTTTTCGTACGTCGAAATATAGGGCTTCCCTAATGGGTATACATTGCATTTTCCCGAAATAGTATGCAAAAATTCTAGTTAAATATCTGTATTTTGAAGATGAATCACATCAGTAGGCAATTTTTGAATCAATTCACCAGTAATGAGAGTAATAATAATTTCTACCCCGTGGTGTTGTTGTTATGTATAACTAGCTCGCCGCGGCTGAGTTCCATTCTGTGGCACGCTCTTTGAAGTGCGTCAAATGTCGAGTGGTTAGAGATTATCGTTGTAGCGCATTAGGTTTCCGATGCGAGTCTTGCTGTAGGCGAGTGAGTATAATTTTCTAATAAGCTAGAGGTTAAAGGTTATTACCGTAGCTCAAACACAATTTTATTTAATTTTTTGGTGTAGTAAAAACTCATCATGCCTAAATGAACTAGTATACAACTAGTATGGAACTGATTCATAGTCGGACAATTAGTGGTTCATAGGACATCACTTTGTTAAAATTAGAGTTGTTTGCTTGGGAAATTTGTATATGGAAGATGAACTATTTAGTCCAAAAATGAAAAACAGTTGGATTCTGGTTAACATTTAGTATTTTTCCCTGCAGGGTAATTACATACTCGTATGCATACATGCATCATATGTTTTTATTTATTTGCCTTTGAATGATTATAACAGTTCAGCGTATATGTATGATATATATGTATGTACATATGTACATGTTCAAAGTCATTTTAATTAATGCACTCTTGAACATAAATAAGTTTATATTATAAATATATATATATGTATATATATGAAATGATATATATATATGTCTATATTTTAACAATTTTTTTTGCCCATCTGGTCGATTGATTGTGGTAATTAAAAATAATTTTATTCAAAAAGGCGTATTTTTCTTGACATATTTATTTCATTAAATTACTGATAAGTGAACACGAAATTTAATAAATTGAATGCGAAACTCCCATAATAACATAACACCGTTTTTATGGGAGTTGTTATTATTCAGATTCCTGTTGACAAGAACAAACTAGTTATCAATATTGACTGATAAACATATGTGTACCAACATAAAAAAAATTATCCTAATTGAATGTACCAGACTCCCGAAACAGAGGCTTAAAGCCTATCACGAAAATGTCAATACACGTATAAATGACCCTCGGTAAGCTAAACGCATTGTTCGGATCCATTCCAATTAGCGTTCAATCTGAACGTAGAGAAGAAGGATAGAATAATAAAAATGCGAAGCGAACATACCTTCGCACGATCTATGATGATATCCAAAGCATACTAATTTTAGTCGAGGATCCCTTGCCCCGAGTATAGAAAGTATTTTTTATATTCAAGCTATTCGAATAGGTGGGTGAGAATGTCGAATGTATTAAAATTAAGCACTAGGCACATAAGAAAAAAAAGATCTTTACCCAATGCCATAAGAAGCATTTGTTGCTGCGTAGACGCCAATCATATACTGTTCAAGAGAGCTGATCATTTGAGATTTCAAGTAAATTGAGTCGAACAAATACGTCAGTCCCTGATTCACTACCCGAAACCGTAGAAACGATCTGCCAATTTTCAAGTGAATAGGTCGCTAACCTTTGTAACACACCGGTGCTTTTAAACGGACATTCGATTTAAATATATAAGATAGGGTTATTCATTTCGTGGTTTCAAAAGTTATAGACTGTATTTTGACACCTGTCAATTTTAACTGCCGAATCAAAAAACATTTTTTGGTTCAGTAAAAAGTCTGGAAACGGATCGCTTAACAACCTCAAAATGTGTTGAAATTATCAAAAGCATCTACAAAAATTAGGAGATTATTTTGCATTATTCAAGCAACTGGTAAAATTTTAAAGCTATTTTAAGAGAATGGATCTGTTACAGATATCGTAAAGCCTTTATTGGTTTCATCTAAAAGAATTGCTACTCTCAGTGAATATATAGACGAAGACCTAGACCGGAATGTGCTTATTTCACGACGTTGTCAAGAGCTGTGACTTTCACAGCTCACGCAACAACCGAAGTCAGCTGACCATTCACAATGACTTATACATGTATGACGGTTGGACGCTTGAACTACAAGCAAAATAACACTTTCTTCAGGGATGAGGTACATTTTTCACTCCGGAGATACGTAAATAGCAAAACTATTGCATTTGCGACTACGAAAATCATTAAATAATTGAAGAGAATGTCTGTGTCTGTGTTTGACCAAATACTCTTATGAAGGCGGCAAGACTGTCACTGACAATTCGGAGCGTTATGGCCGATTTACAAGCAAGTCTTGGCGATGCCAATTGGCCGACGAGACCTTGCGATTTGAGACCGTTGGACACTACTTTGTGGGTCTATTCGAAAGACCGTATAAACATTTAACTTGATTGATCAAGTATCCGCCAGGCGCTCAGTGGAATGATGTAGCGTTTCATATACGCAAAATGTGTAACCCTGTAGATATTAGATTACAGGTAGTAAAATGTAGGAAATATTATTACCACGAAGTTTCTTTTAGCCATGAAAATAAAAGATTCTCTTGAAAATTCTTGAACTGTTTGAAAATTTGTACGAAAAACTACAAATTATAATCCAAATATTTAAAATTCCTCCACCCACTATTTCAAACAAATCTATACAGTAAAAGAATTTCAGAATTGATATTTATACATATACCAATATTATATACAATACATACATACATATGTATGCAATTTAGCACATTGAAACAAGCGCACACAAATAGAAAACAAGTGATAAGCCCAAGAAATAAAATTATACAAAGAGAGACGGCTCTCGAAAGAGAAAAAGTCATTTAAAAAATTCTGAACTTTTTTATGCGCTGATAAGCAATACTTTCATAAACAATTATTATTAAAAAGTGCACTTATTATTATTTACAGTGTTGATGTATTATATACATATGTATATAAATATGTACATACGTGTACATATGCATGTATGCACACAGGACGATTTTTGATGAAAGTATTCGAGTGGTTAGCATTGCGTACTGCCATTCGGAAGGCTCGGATTGAAGTCCCGTGCAACCAAGATCGAAAAGTTATAGAAAGTTAATTTAAATAAAAGACTAACTTAAATTTTCTAGTTGCGGTTGCCCCTCGGCAAGTTATGTCAACCCCTCCGAGCATGTTTCTGACATGAAAAAAGCATAGAAAACCATCAGCCGTTCGGAGGCGGAAAAACAGCAAGACGCAAAACCACAAATTGGAGGAGGAGCTCGGCCAAACATCGCTTCAGCGGTTACAAAGCGCCAATTATGATATATTTATATATATATTTCTATGTATATTTATATATATATATTCACATCTTTATTAGATGTAAAAAGTTTCCTCAAATTCCAAAGTAAATGGTTCTCAACACCTTTCAAGTTAGTTGATTTGTGTTTATTCTAGTTTAAATTGATACAAACATTCATGCTGAGAGGATTGGAATATTTTTATTTTTAATAAAAATGTAACAAAGCGTTATCTAATAAGAAGTGACATTGTGAAGTCCAAAAGGGTTTCTATATGTAAGAGTTTAACTTCTTTTCCGAAAAAGTTGGTGCTGTCTCAACCTTTCAAAAATTGGTTACAATTTCAAAACTAACTTCAAAATTTTTTTTTTAAATAGATTAGCAAGTAGTTTATTGAGTTATATGATTTTTTCTACAAACGTGGACAGTTTTGCGCTCATTTTTCCCATTAGAATAAATTCTACTATTTTACTATACTATTTTGAATCTTTTTAAAGTTTTTGTCATGATTTAAAAATACATACAAACTCTTTAAAAGACAACAATTCAATTGGAAAGTTCCCGGCCTGACTCATAATAGCGTTACTAGAATTAGCCCTAACCTTCAAAAGGCGGGCGTATAAATTTAACAGCTGTCGAATCATTAGTTTGTGAATAACAGTATTTTGAGCGAAGCAATAGATAAAAAGGAATTTCGCGTGTTGATAAATTATTGCTTTTAGAAGGGGCAAAAACTTGGCTTTTGGGTGAGATTTCGGACACAGTCCCAATAGAACCAGACATCAAGGGTATGCTAAGTTTAGACGTGGTGAAATGAGCACCGAAGACGGTGATCGCAGTGGTCGCTCAAAAGAGTTTGTCACCAACGAAAACATCAATAAATCCACAAAATAATTTTCAATGACCGTAAATTGAAGTTAAATGAAATAACAGACACTCTAAAGAATTCACGCATATTTGGGTATGAGAGTGTTCGGTTGAAAATGGGTGTCGTGCGGGCTCACTTTCGACAACGATGAGTTGATGATTTGGAGCAGTGTTTGGAGATGTTCAAGCGTAATAAACCCGAGACCGTATTCTGCCGGGGGGTTTTCAATTGGACTGTTATACGGTCGCAAATTTTTCCTCGTTATCTGAAAAATATAGTTGTATAATATTTTTTTTTTATTTGATACTATTTTTGTTTAGTTTTATTAAATAATAAGATACAAAGATTACAAAACAATTGAAACCAGATCGTCGAATTACAAAAATAGAGTTAAAACAAGTGTTTATATAATTTGATTTACCTTTACTAACTTTTTCAGTTCATCTTTCATTATACCAATTTTATTTGCTAATCTGAATACAAATTTGTACTTAACGGTGTATTATTGCATGAGTTGAGTTGAGCAAAGTTTAATTTTTATATTTCTCTTCTTGCAGATTTGGTGCATTGTACAAATGAACCGAATGTCTCTATACCTCATTTGGCCAATTTACTTATCGAACGCTCACAAAATACCAATTGGGTGGTGGTTTACAAAGCGCTGATAACGACCCATCATTTGATGGCATATGGAAACGAGGTGAGTACTGAAATAAGACAAACTTGAATTTTACGTATCATTATTAGCCGAATCATTAGAGACTTCAATAATTCGACTCTAAACATAGTTCAAAATCAATGGAAAATTTTGAATTCAACGTTTTGATCATCATGTTATATAATATTTCCGTGTTTCCGTTATTATCTTTTTGCATTGTACTCATTTGCTGTACTTCCTACTGTTTCAAAATGATAAGACTCCTGTCCTAACTTACAAGGTGTGACAATTAAGTAATGAGACTGATTATATTGCCGCGATTGTGGTAACTATTCCCTTCTCCCGGCTTCCTTCTCTCCTTTAATATATTTGCCATCGCTCTAGCTTGTTTAGTCCGTCATGTTGAGTAAACTTGTTTTCGTGGTGCTCGTCACGAAAATGGAAAAACGACATCAAGAGCAACGCACGCAATAAAATTTTTTCAATACGATCCGGAAACCAAACGCCAAAGCTCAAAATGGTTGTCTACGCACCCCTCCGCTCAGAAAAAGCTTGCATGGACAAGTCGAAGGTGAAAACGATGTTTATTGCATTTTTTGTTAGCCGTGGAATCGTCCACAAAGAATTTTTTCCACCAAACCGCAAATCAAGTTTTTTATCGCCAAGTACTCGAAAGATTGCAAAAACGAGTCAACGTGTCATCACGACAACACGCCGTGCCACACCGCCTTCAGCGTGTCCCAGTATTTGACCTCTAAAGTAATCGCCGTGTTGCAACCACCGCCTTATTCACCCTGTGACTTTTCTTGTTCCCTAGAACAAAATCGGTGGTCAAAGGAACCCATTTTGAGTCGATCCCCTGTCGACATCCCAGTCGTTCCAGAAATGTTACGAAGAATGGAAAACGCGCTGGGATCGTTGTATAGCTGTCCAAGGGAACTACTTTGAGGCGATAGCAGAGTTGAAGAATTATTTTTGAAATATACGATTTTTATGGGATCAGTCTCATTACTTAATTGTCAAATCGCAAGCCCTGCAAACATTTGAAGTTATCGCAAGATTTACCAAAAAAATCTCATTTATACCATCTGGGATACAGTAAGATATTGCTTTTGAAGCTAAAGTTCATTTGTTGGACTCAATTTGTGTTAAAAAAAAAAGGGATATTGATGGCCCTGATGGTCTTCAGTTCTTTTGGAAACATTTGCGAAAGGGAAATTTCGCTGTTTAATAATTTAAAAGTCAGCGACTGGTCGGCCTGCTCTCCGGACTTATATCCCTATGGAATGGGGCTTACTAAAGTGAAGAGTTTAATAAATTAATCGTCACTTTGACAGATGACAAAGGAGCTTAACGCTGCAAATTTTATCCGAAGGGTCTAACCTGGATGTAAGTCTTTTAAAAATTGATTGAATCGAAGAAAAAATATTGAAATAGTCATTGTCACATCTGTTGGTTATTGATGAGCCGAAGAGTCCTAGAGAAAATGTATACTTAGTTAATTTCAACGGCAGTGAAAAGTGTCTTTATTCCAAACTAAATATTCCCCCGAACCCTACTTTTTTGTAAAAGTTATTGGTAAAAAATATATATTTATCTTATGATTTATGATTTTGAAACGCACCTTATATAGCACCAGAAATAAAATTTATTTATGTATTTAAAAATACGTAAAATTACTTAACTCTCCATAAAAGTTTACGAATTCAAGTAAACTGCTGGATCCGAGAATATTAGAACGATTCCTTACAATTTTTCATGGGTTGAGTACGAATATCTAATCTGGTTGGCAGTATTGGATTTAGCCTCCCCAGTTCTCGCGTGATGGTGACAGAAAAGTCATTTTAAGTGCATCCAAAACTGTTTATGGTTATGAGCTAACAAAAACGTACATTGCCACAAGTCTGGTTCCAATTTTTTTTGTTACGTTTGGTACTTACGAGTATCGAGTATATGCACATAAAAGTTTAAAAATAATAACAAATGCGCTTGAAGATGCGTATCAGCAGTACTTTCGTTCACAAAGTCGTGGGTACCGAAATTTTTTGTAACGCGTGCAGAACTAAATTGCACAAGTGTTCATTGGGTGAACGTGTGTTCTTTTTCTTTTCATGAAGATGAATACACCTGTCTTTTGATAAATGTTATGGATATAAATGCAAACAAATTAAAACCATGTGAATATGCTGATCCAAGTCATTTACACGAACCGAAAATGATCCATTGCCATTTTGTACAGGTATAAGCAAATTATTGACTGAAACTTAAACTTCACCATCTCGTGGCAATGGAAACGGTCACTTCATGGAAAAGAAACATTTCATTTCCCAAAGGAACTAAGCGATTCATTTTGTAATTTGAATCTCTCCAAATAAAAACCAAATACTGAATATGAAGTAGCACCACCACCTTCTGGGCAACAGCAAATCTCTAAATTTCAGCAAATTATTAACAATTTGTTGGAAAATAATGGAAAGATGTCAGCTAGAATGTCTAAAGATACCTGTACTGTATTTTTACACTGTTTTCCCCCTGAAAACTTGGGTGATACTAACTACTGACGTTATGCGGCTGCATAACGATCTAGTCAACATCTAAAGAAGAAGGACTTTGGTGTGAAAACATAAATAGCGACCACTTTTGGACTCTAATACATGAAACAGATCTCAAGCAATATAAAAGACATATTTTTACCATCATAAATATTAAGTTAGGGATTATATCAAGAACGTAGTGAAGGCTCGGATTTAGCGGAATATCATAGAAACAACTTTTGCTTGCCTATGTCCAAAATCTTGTACACTTGTGTTATCATAATTCTGAAGATCTGATGCGTACTCACTCATGTGATCGGTTCATTCATTCTTCCTCTGGTTTGAAGTTTCGTGCATACTCCACTATTATAGCCGAACCCAAGTCTAGGTCTATCTCTTGCTGAATTTGGTTGTGAGCACATATAATATATAGATATGATAAATGTCAAGTTATTCGAAAAATGTCCATCGTTTCGGTTGAAACATTTGGAACTATTAACGTTAGAGCAGTTATCAAAATAAAGCTGTCCTTAATGTTAAACGTTAAATTTGAAGTGTGCTGTTCATGTCACAGCAAGCAGCAATTTTAAAATTAACGTTAACGATGAGCGAGTCTATGCGGTTGCAACGTTAATGATTTCATTTCGTCTTTAGTTTTTATAGCATAGCGTCGAAACTAAAAGATTTAATTTCGTTCAGTTAATTTTTCTTGTTATCGCTTGAATGACGATTGTGGCTAGAAGTACTTTCATTGAGGATGACGATGGTACGTGAGTTACCTATTGACCTGAAAAGGGTTAGGTCGCCGAAAGTGTGACAGCTCTTGGACGTATAAAATCCGAATCAACGCTGGTGCGTAGTGCGTAGGCTGTCGCGAGAGTTGGTTTACTAGCACAACTAAGATTTGGATATTGTAGTTGACTCATAAGTATCCAGACATACCCAACGTATGTCCTGCATGCAATGAGTCACCTTCATGCTCCTTAAACCCCACTCATCAGACCCCACCTTCGCTCCGGTCCGAACCCGTCGAAAGAGCACGTTTCCTGGACCTCCCATTACATGATCTCGATGACTTAGATACTTGGGTCAACAGAATCCTACCCCACCACGAATATATGTAGCACCAAATATGCGCATTTTGTGTACATATGTATATACACTAATATATATATAAATATATACTACAATGATTTTCCTTTATCAATTGAAACCAGTGCGCCAATAATTAAAAAAACTTTTTCAGAAGATATTTTCAAATATTTTTAGTGTCTTTTAGTACAATTATTCTAGTTTTAAAATGAAAATAAATTTTACAAATTTGTTTTTGAAGCTTTGGTATTCATATTACCGTAGTGAAGGATTAAACTTTTAGTAAAATTCTTGTTGCTGAACATTATTCGCTAATCGAAATGTAATTTTAATATTGTAATTATTCGTATATTTTTCTCACTATGTCTTCCTCAGCGATTCATGCAGTATTTAGCATCCAGTAATTCTACATTTAATCTCAGCAATTTTCTGGACAAAGGGGGCGTGCAAGGTAAATAGAAAAAAATAATATCATTATGTTATGCACACACTCACACACGCGTGCAAAGAAGAACATATAATGTGCTATAAATATACTGCTCACTGATTCGAATGCGATTTAATTCCACAAAATTCTGAAAAGTATATTTACAAATAATCACACATACACATTTATACATACATACGCAAATTTGTTTAAACGACCTATAAAATTCATTCCATAACCATTTTTGATTGGCATTTTCCCACAAATATGTATACAATAACAGAATAAATTATCCATATACACACTTACATACATAAACATGCAATCATATGTACTATTTGTGCAGCAGGAATTAATTATATCAACACTTAATTTTTGTGTCGTAATTTGATGAAAACGGTTTATTTTGACAATGCCGATACTAAAATAATTTTAAATTTAATCACCATTTCAGTCATTCATTTATCATTCAACAAATTTGAAGCAAATATATATTAACACACCCATACAAATCTGAAAAATATATAATATTATATTAACATATACTCTTCTTTTCTCTCTTTTCTTCTTCATTTCTTTTTTCAACATAAAATACATATAAATGTCACATTAAAAACTCAAAAAAAAAATAATAAATAAAATCCTGAAATCTGCTAATTTTTCAAATCCGGCTTATTATGTTTTATTAATCTGCAATTGATTATAAAAAATAAAAATTAATAATGTAACCAATTTTCGTATTAATAACATCCCGAAAACAAATAATCTTCACTACCAATTTTACACAAACACACACACACACACACTTAATTGGTTCTTTGTTTTTGTATAATAAATTAACTGTTAACTTGTTAAGATGGCTTATCGGCACCGGGTGGCAGAATGGGTGAGTACTTAGATGTTTATATATACATAACGTAAATTTTTATATGTATGTATATTATTTTTAATATTAATTTGCTCGGATTCTTGGACCATAAACTAAATATTTAGTTAGCAATTTTTGTATATATGCTTTGAAATTAACTTTATTTTGTTCATGATAAGTTTTGGTTTTATGTACATAAATAAATTGTAGTAAGTAGATTTGAATGCATCGAATACTCAAATGGCTATTTGTACGTGTATTTCTCTTGTCAAGTTTACTAAATTCAAAAGATAATGGAAAAAGTATAGTATCTGGAAATCAGGTTTTTTTAAAGGTCAACATTTTTTTTGTTGCGAGTAAGAGATCAACACTGATTAAAATAAAATATTTTATAAATTGCCGCTTCCTCGTCGACTGTGAAAGCTTTAAGATCGATCGAAAAAATCTCAAAGAAATTTCAGCCAATGTCAAGGCTACAACAAATTAGAATTAAGAGAATTGTGGTATTTAGAAGCCTATTTAAATAACTTAATGCGTCTCACTAGTTCAAGTGCATGTCGGAAGAACTACTATGCCTCGGGTGACTATTTTCCGAAACCATATTTTTACTCCGTTCCTTATTTAAGTTTATAATATTCGTATTCAGCATCACATTATTATTGATTTTGTCACTCTCAGTCACAGCAGAAGTTCGAAAGCAGCCTTACTGCCTCAGTGTTCCACATTAAATCTACCAGAAAAGTCATTGTCGTAATGCATTGTTGGATACAGTTTTATTAAACATAAAATTTTTGAAAGCTTAGAGCTTCTAGAAGAAGCGTTTTTTTCCAAAATTGGTTGAATTCATCAACGTACAATCGTTACAGCTCAGCTCCAACATTTCAATACCATTTCGTATTTTCGGTCTCAAAGTAGGTCTCAGTTTCACTAATAACCTTTTTTCGAGAAAAACTTAGCAAATACGTTGAATGTGGGAGCAGCAGCTGATCTGTCTTGATGAAAAAATGTCTCTTTGCAATGTCGGCCTTCAAACTCTCCAATAACGAGTTTTCTTTTGTTAGTACTAATTGAAAAAGCGTTGAGTGCAATACAATTAGCGGCATCTATGGGCTAAGCTAGAAATTTTTAGCCGATTTTAGCAAGGATCTATCCCTATAAAGAAATCTTTGAGATAATCGTTTCTGTCACTGACAGGATACTATTGGATTTTAGAGGGATGAAAACGTGATCATTTTGAGGTGGTGACTTTTTGACACATAAAAAAAACACTGTTATGTTGTATGTTATGTGGTTTGTCTTTTTGAAAGTGCGACTGATTTATTTCTACATTCGCAGAAAGAAGTTTTTGATAACAAAATTTTCCAAAAAACAAAAAAAAAAAAACGCGATACGTGCACCTAAATAGTATAGTTAGTAATGTTAAGTCTAACCCAGATGCTTGTGGAATCTCACAAAAAAGTTAATAGATTTAAAAAAATATTTCTAAGTTGGAAAATTTCAATTTGAAGGTACCTAAAGTGTTTTTTGTTGCATAAACTTAGACTAAAAATAAGTTTTAGGCTTTACTAGTTAATGTCATCTCTCATCTCTTTTAAAAGCGTTTCGAAAATGTATTTACTATACTTTCCACTAACAAATTAGCAATTTTTCTGTAATAAACACAGTCCATTACCGGATTAATGAAATTCATAAAACATAGTACTAAATAAATTTCTGCTCTAAGCTTGAGATACTTTATTTTTTTACATATGCTTATATCTTTGGCAGTATTTAACAAGGTGCGCTGCTATGCTTTCATGAACGAACGTTATTAAGTTTAAAACGCAAAATATTATCTTTTGAATTGTGGCATTTGAGTTATTCTAAAAGTTATTGTCCTGCTGTAACAAACGCTTAACATTGGAGTAATCAGTTGTTTTTGAATTACGCATATTATTACCCCAAGCATGATATCTGAATAATGGGTTATATGGGAGCTATCCTAGTCCAAAACTGAGCAGTTTTGACATTGTAAAAATACACCTCCAAACCAAATTTCAGTTCAAAGTTCTCTTAAAGTGGGGAATTAAGGTAATCAGCTTGTCACTCTGATCATATTGGAAAGGTTTTTGAGCTTTTACGCTTTTGTTAGAATTAAAAATTGCAAAACTCTATTTATAAGTAAAAAAAAAGAACACTACTTTCGTAGTTCTATAATTTAAGAATATGTTTGGATGATACCTACTTTTTATATTAAATTTATCTGCTATTGTTATGTTCGCTATCGCAAATTCCATATAACTACGTACTTACGAAGCCTGTTCAAAAATCGTAGAGCACACAAAAGCGTGACTAACCTTTCAGTTGTCGACAACAAACTACTAATCCAAGTTGGCTGATAATATCAACATATTTGTACCAACATAAAAAAAAATTCATACAATTTTCTACAGCCCGCAAAAATTCAAAATTCACATTTCATCTCTTCTTTTGAACAGACCTCGTGTATGCTTGCACATATATATTATTATCTATTATTAATATATAGTATAATTAAGCATAACTTTGATTAAATATAAAACACAGTACTGCTGTTTCTTGGCATTATTTAGTACAACTGTAATTATTCCATTCTTTTTAAAAATCTTTGTTTCACACATTTCTTATTCCCCTATTCTTTCTCTCAACAGGCTACGATATGTCTCCGTTCATACGACGCTATGCTAAATACTTGAATGAAAAGTCGCTTTCATATCGTGCAATGGCTTTTGATTTTTGTAAAGTAAAACGCGGGTAAGTTGGATAGGGCATATCAGTATATGTATGTATGTTTTAAACATTGTAAGCATTCGAATACATTCATATGAGGTGTGACACTTAAGTAATGAGATTGATTATATTGCTGCGATTTTGGTAACCCTGCGACCCTATCTAAAAGCCCAAAAAGAAAAAAGTCTGGTGCGGCTAAATCGGATGATCTTGGTGGCCAGTCGATATTCCTTTCTTTCGATACCACACTTCCGCAAGAATTTCATCGTTGACTCCTCCGTGTGACATGTTGCGCCATCTTGTTAAAACCAAAAGCTTTTCAGACCTTTTTCACGCATCGCTAGTAAAACAGAGTGCGCCAACATCAACCGTTGAGAGTTTCCCCAACTTTGAGGAAGAAAGGCCGAATGATGGTTTTTGAGCAGACACCGGCCCAAACAGTTACTTTCTTGTCATGCAGTGGAGATTCCTAAATGACATGATGATATTATTTCCCTAAAAAGCGACAGTTTTGTTTATTTACTCCGCCAGAGAGCGTGTAATGGGCCTCATCAGTCATCAAAAATACGCACGCTGTGCTGGAACAATTGAACGATTACACTCAATGCACATTGTAACTATTTCATGGTAGAAATTGTATTGGAATAATCTTTCCAAAAAGCTATTACAGCACGCAATGTTTTGAAATCTGTCAATGTTATTCAATGTTTCGATTGCCCACATATATGTGGGGCACCCTGTATTATTCTGTTTAAAAAAGATCTTCAATAAGTTGATTTAATAATATGAAATATGTATTAATTAAATTTAATTCTATCTATAGCAAAGAGGAAGGTTCTTTACGCACTATGAACGCCGATAAGTTGCTGAAAACATTACCTGTACTTCAAGGACAATTGGATGGTTTGTTGGAATTCGATTGCCAGGCTAATGATTTGAGCAATGGTATGATTTTCTTTGCTTTTCAGTGTTTTGTTATTAATTTACTTGATATTTTTTGTTTTTTTTTTTTAATTTCAATTATCCATTATTAAATTTTTCCTATGCCTGTCTTTTTGCACACTCGCGACAGGTGTCATCAATATGAGCTTTATGCTGCTCTTCCGCGACTTGATACGTTTGTTTGCGTGCTACAATGATGGGATTATTAATTTACTCGAGAAATATTTTGATATGAATAAGAAACATGCACGTGACGCTCTCGATTTGTATAAAAAGTTTTTGGTGCGCATGGATCGAGTCGGTGAATTTCTTAAAGTTGCTGAGGTGAGCTTAAAATAAAGTAAACAAAAATTATTAAATACCTGAGATTCCCCGGATATTTTTACTACAGAATGTTGGCATTGATAAAGGCGATATACCTGACTTGACAAAAGCTCCCAGTTCTCTATTGGATGCTTTGGAGCAACACTTGGCCACTTTGGAAGGACGCAAAGTATCTGCTGCTAATACACCCACTCAATCAGCAAGGTATTTTTGACCTTAATATTCATAGCGATCCGAAAATATTACATTTATATAATTTTTATTTTTTTTGCAAATTTAATACTCGTTCTTACTTTACAGATATACATTAAATTTAAGTAGTAGAGTATTTTTGTTTTATAGATTTAGTTGTAGATATTTTGCGAACATATAGTCAGCACTCGTTATGGGTAAGGGCCGTACCATTGTTCATGTTGACATTTCTGAGTAATAATTATTAAAGTACTGCTTTGCTTAGCATAGCGGCGGCGCGGTAGGCGAGCGGGTTCCAATCCCCGTGCGACCAATATCCAAAAGTTATAGAAAATTAATTTAAAGCTTCTCATAAAAAAACCATCAGCCGTTTGGAGGCAGCTTAGTATAAACTGTAAGTCCCTCCATTTGTTGGAAAAACATCGAGATGCAAAACCACAAATTGGAGGAGGAGCTCGGCCGAAAAATCACTTCAGCGGTTACAAAAAGCGCTAATTATATATATGTAAATATATATATATATATATTGCTTTGCCATATGGACTAATTGATCTGAAAAAAGCGAACCTAAATGTATAACATAATTCCTAACTCGAGGACACATCAAGCTTTTAGTGGGCAGTTGCCCGAAAAAAAAATTTTGCACGTGTGTGGCTAGAGCTGTATCCGTATTTAATAATTAAAATTGTGTTACAATTTCAGAACAGATCTTATATATTTATGTTCTTTGAAGTCCATATAACTTTACTCAATTTAAATAGCTAGAAACGGTTGAAATTTTAATAAAACTAATATGCGCAAAGCAGTCGCTTATATTCTCCATCCAGTATGCAATTGAAAATTAGACTTTGTCGATTATAGTTAAGTATCAGCTTCGCGTAGTTATTATAAAATTAGTATATTTCGCTTGTTATATTTGGTATTTTAAGCATTAAAAAATTCGCAAGATCCTTTTTTAATTTACAAATTGTGTTAAATACAGTATTGGGCCCAGGCTTGACAGTTTTGTCTAATTGCTGTTAGGTTAGTTTGTCCGTTACAATCAAGTGTCCTTAATACTCGTTCAAAAATTTATCCACCATTTAAAATGTGTATTTTATACATCTAGAACAATATGCCCCCTAAACATAATGACAAATAAAATTATTCTTTATGGCACCAAGTCGAATTTATAAGAATTATAATGTATCTAATCATTTTCTACTTTACCAGAAATTATTGATACAAAATACTTTTTATACAAATCTTTGTATTTTGCGTGTACAAGTTTGATACATGCATATATATATTTGAGATATATTGAGTTTGCTAAATATGTTATTCTGTATACATTTATGCCCCGCATAGTAATTAAGTAGTAGAGCATATTTAAGTTGCATGATGTCTTTGTGTTATTTTAATTAAATTATACAATTTTATTAATTCATATTATTATTTTATATAATTTTATTAGGGTTTACTTCCAATTTTATTTTGATTTATTTTTTTTTTTTACTTATTTTCATGTTACTCCTTGGTCGTAATTGCGATCATCATAATTACGTTACGGTTGCTGTTATTATATATTATGATTTGGTCGAATTAATTGTTTGTTTGGTAAAATGCTTCATTTGGTAATTACTCGAACCCGGTACTGGCTCATAAATTTTGTTCGTTTTGGTTCGAACATATTTATATAGCAATCAAAAAAATGTAAAATCTGCTGTGACCGCCTTATCTTCCACCAGCTCTTCATTCGGGACAGCAGCAGCATCAAGCAAATTCGATACGACCAATGGCATCGATGAGCAATTGAAAGCTCAGGTATTGGCTGAAGAAGAAGCCGCCATGAATCAGTATAAAGTAAGTATATGACAAATATTGTACATTAGTACCAGACCATTTCTCGATATTATTTCTAATATTTGGCCTTTTCGATACTCTTAATACTTGCTTAATTGGCCTCACTTTCTGCCATTGATTGTGTCATATTTTTCCATTATTTGCTTTTTCCTTGCATTAATTCAATAACTTACTAATCTAATTGCCTTTGTTTTTGTTTTTACTATGATCCCTTGATCTAGAGAAATTTTCATGTTTCCATCATATATTTTACATAGATTCCAGAGCCATGATCATTTCTGCAAAAGTTTGTAAATGGCAAATTCGTTTGCTTACCCTTGGGTGGTCTAAACTGCTCGTTTCCCGTTCCTTTTATAATTAGATGCCATTTTGAGATCCACTTAAGAGTTTTTTTTTGAATTTTCCTTCATTGAAGAAATGCGCGTAGATTACCGATATATTATAGAAGATCGTAGACACGCCACCTACCATATATATCTTTTTTCCAGTATCAGTATTATTAGTAAGTTTGAGCTGTACGTTGAAAGGCGTAAAATGAAAAACTGTAAAAATAACATAAATTTGTAGATCAACCTGTTGACAAAAAGGTTTGAAAATCCATGTAATGTATTAGTTTTTGTTTCAAATGTTATTTTGAATAATTCTTATTAATTAATTTCTTGCACTTCTCCCACCCTGTCGACTTAATGTTGCTCATACGACATGTGTAACATCCTAGTTTTAAGCAAGAATAGTCTGGGCTCAGTCTAGATAAAAATGTCCTCCTCTATAATGCGGTCATTATACCGAAATGGATGTATGATATCCACCTATGTGGTGCAGCTTGCGCAACAAATATTGATGTAAAACAAAGATTTTAGTCTGAAATTCTAAGAACTATATATATATATATATACCATCAAAGAAAAGATATAACCGAACCCTTTGGCTAAGATCTTGGGCTCCTTAAGAAGCAGCTTGCTTTAGATCAACAATTTTTTTTTAATTTACGGTTTTTGCAATTTACTCGATATTGAAGTATTTACGCGCATTTTATACAAGAGTTTTTGTAGCGCGATTTTACTTATGTGTACTGTTAATTTTAATAACATCATTTCCTTTTCCAGCAATCTAAGGTTTCTTCACCTACCGCAGGTGGTGGTGGCGCTGGTGCCGGTGCTGCATTAACAAATCCATTCTTATCGTCGCCGCCAGCCAGCGGTGCTGGGGCACCGATAGTCGATCTGTTTGGTGCAACTCCGGCAACGGCTGCCGGTGCGGCTGCTGCCACCAGTGGAAGCGGTGCTGCAGGCGGCACAAAAGCATCCGATGACTTGTTACAATTGGGAAATCCATTTGCTGATATGTTTGATGCTCCAATTGCAGGAGTTGGTGCTGGCGGAGGTGTAGCTGCGACAACAGGTGGTGCACAAAATGCCAATAATATTTGGATGAATAATAATGGTAGCATGCATTTTATTTGATTTTAATTTATTCTTATTTTCATTTCTAGTGCATACTTAATGTGCATTTGTAATATCTAGAAGTTTATTCTGAGATAAGCTGCATTTGAGTAGTATATTCGAAATATTATTTTATGTTGCCAATATGTACATATATTGTGAGATAAATTAATTGTTTATTGTTTTTAGGTTTCGGTGGTGCTCCTTCAGCAGCCGCAAATGCATTTGTGTCTGATAGTAATTTTTCGTCTGTTTTTGGTAATACGGAACCAACCGGTAAGTAAAATGTGTCTCCTGTTTAATATGTTGTATATTTGCGTTATACTGCGAAGAACGCTCATAATTATCTTGCCCTCTAGTACTTGTACCTATGCGAGTCCCCTTTCCTTAAACCGCTTTTCCACCTTTTCCCTTTTGAAAAATATTTACTGTAACTATATGTATAACATTATTGTTAAAATATTTCAAATAGTTAATCCTATCAACTATATATCTATTAAAAAGGGCTATTAGTTTCGAACTTTCGGTGTTTCCATCTTTTCTTTAAATTTAATGTACATTTTAATTTAATGATGATGTTTAAATGGCAATGTTCAGAATTTTATAATTTCTTAACTACGCTTATCTATATTTACAAAAATAATTAACACACTAAGAGTGCTTACTAAGTTTTTGTTGTATAAAATTAATCAACAAGCATGGAATTAACTGCCTAGGTTTGTTTTCGTAGTGTCCTCGTACTTACTCTTTATGTTTTAAATCTCTATAAAATATTTTATTAATTTCATTAAAGTACTAACAGGTCTTTGTAAAGTATCAAACTTATCACGCCGCCACACTTTGTATATAACAAATCGGAAAATTTCCAATGGTAATGGAGGCAAAATGTAGTCTCTGAAGAAAATCCTCTTAAAACAAGAAAACAATGCAATTTTAATATTAATGTTTAGTCAAATTTTTGAATTTGAAAAATATAATTCCTCAATCTTAAGGTAAAGTAAAGAATAATGTCCTTTGAAATTGATTATTAATTGCATTAATAGCGATACAACTCAAAATAAGTCCATTTAATCATAAAAATAATACCTTTCAGTCAATACTAACTAGTTACACAGCAAATAGTTACATACATAAAACGGTCCTTTTCTAGTTAAAGAAGGCAGTGGCCTCAGAAAAATAGCTGTCGCGGTTAGAGATATATTCTTTGAATTGTTGAATGAAAAATTGTCATTTTTGAAAAATTTTTAGTTTTATATTTTTATATTTCATATTTGTGTGTGTGTGAAATGTTCATTTACTGTTTTTTTATTAGCGCAGGTATTTTAAAAATTGAATTAATTATTTTATTTTATTTCTAATTTGGCGTACGCGATGAACATTCTAAATGTCATTTGAAAACTAACATCACTGCTTGAAAATTCTCAAACTCACTCACGGAATTGAAATTAAAAATACTACTGAATATGTAAATTGTATGAAAATTACTGGTATCCCCGGCTCGTTTTTATGTCGTCGCAGCCTTGCCAAACCCGTTCTTCGACACGATGGAGGCGCCATTTAATGCGCAGCAACAACAGCATCAGTCAGCGATATTCTCCAACACATCAGCAAACGCCGCTTTTATGGCGCAAGGAGCAACTGGCGCTCAAACGCTTTTTCTGAATACAACCTCTACTGTGGCACCGACGCCACAGCAATTCCCACCAGGTGAAGAGACAGTTAAATGCACATTAACTTTTAATCAGTCTTTTATACATATATACGTACAAAACAAACATTCAACTGAATAAGAGCATCAGTTGTTCGTTGCAGTGTCCTTTTCGTTTACTTTCCGCTCACATTTATTTAATTAATTATTTATCATACATACTTGTACTGTATGTAGGTATGTATGTATGTTAGATTGTATATGTGTGCGTGTTGTATAAACGATTAAAGCTTAAAGTGCTGCCATTCCTTGTTGCTATATTATATTGAATTGGCTTGATGCACAAAATTGTAATATGAATAAACAGCAATCAAAGCAATGCAATCCGAAGTGAATGCAAGAAAATTGCGAGGTTAAATCAACCTGTGCTTTGTGCTGCAAGCTTTCCCCGGCAGAGCGGGCTAACAAAACCTACATATATAGATTTACACGCTTGCCTTTATTATTCTTTGTACGCGTTTTTTCAAGAACTATCCCATTCAGCCATGCTATTGCACTGTAATGTTTCTATTCATTCACTTTCCACTTAATGTGCCTCGCTTGTAATATTCATGCCTTATCATACGAGTTTGTTTTGTTGCGTGTTCTATTCGTGTCAGTCTTCTGTTTACCACCTGTCAATCAATGTTTGTACAAAAATCCCCCTGTTAACTGGCAAGCGATACACAATCATTTAGCCCAAGGCTGTGCAACAGATTTCGACATTGGCTTTATTCTCTACACTGTTCTGCGCTCCTTTTTTAGTGTTGATTTTCTATCCAGAGGAGTTTTCTTGTGCGTCCAATATTTATGCCTGTTAATTTGCGTGTTTTCTTTTATTAATTTATTAAAGGCTACCTCTTTTAATTGTCTGAATATATTTGTGCTGTGTATTTTTCATTGAAATACCGTCAATGTTAGGGTATAGTAGGTAGTTAAAAGGTATAGTAAGGTGCCAAATTCATCGACGCTTGTTAAGGTTATTTTCGTGTGCTTCAGTGTATTTAGTCGCTGTTAAGGATCGCTATAAAAGTTATGGCTATGCTTAGAGTTTTTAATATCCTTTAGCAACCGCTTTTTTTTTTTTTGAAGACATGGCAAAATTAAATATTCGTTATTTTTAAGTGTGTTAACTTAGTAATAAGAAAACCCCTAAATTAACTTATGCACATTTGTAAAAAGATAGCTTTCTTGAAATTATGTTAGCTTAGGTGCAATTATTCATATTTTTATAAGGCGTAGCAATAAAATTGTATCAAAGCTCAGCTGCTGTGTTCAATTGCCAATGGCATTAATAAAAAAATCTTTTCGCAAAGTTCTCAGGATTAACATTCGCTACCTATACCCTTTTAATAAACTAAAATCAAGCAACAAATTTTGAGGTATGCCGTGTAGAGGAATATTTACTTTAGACAAATAGCTTTTGAAAGCATATACATATATATATCTANATAACGTATATTTAAAAAAAATATATAATATATATCTATATATAGGTTCTAAATACACTTGCTTTATTAAGTAATCTATGTATATGTACAAAAATTTTGTTTCGCCTTTCTATTCATTTGAACTTACTTTTTGCTCATTTTATATTTCTTCGTTTATTTTGTATCAGAAAGGATTCTTTTTAATATATAGCTTTGATGTTGCGCTTTGCTAAATTAAATTTAACTGTTGTACATATATTTTTCTTCATTTTTCTTGGCTTTGGTGTCTGAAAATTGGCATGTCTGACCTCATGATTTGCTACAAAAATCACTTAATACTCTCATTAAAAAAACACATCAACCATTATGTAATACAATGTCTACTTGCACTCCTTTCCTCGGAACACTGTTTACACACACTTCGGTAGTAAATTTATTTGTAATCATTTTATTTTTATTCTTTGTAAATATTTTACATCTCTCCGTTTTTATCGCTCACATCGTTTTAACAACTCCTCACGATTTAAAAGATATCAGTACTTTTCTTAAAACAAACATTAAAATAGTATACATATATAAAACTTAAAAAAAAAAGTTCATGTTTATTTATGTTGTAAATGTATTTTTTCTCTTTCTCTTCTTTTTTGTTTGTATTTTTTATGTAAACTCACGAAACATTTTGTATCATAATTATAACGCGAAAAAAATCTCATGAAAAATGGAAAAATGGTGGCACTTATATATATACATTTTAAATATTTATATTAATATTCGGTGATGCATTAAAATTCACTTCGAACGAACTTAATTGTTGAAATAAAAAAAACGTGCAAACAATAAATGAAATAAACTAAAAAATTAAACATTTTGGTGTGGTGAATAAAATATAAACTAACTGCAAAAACTGCTTATACAACAAAACATCTATTTATGTATACGTACATGTACATATTTGTTGAAACATTATTGGAGAAACTCATCATTTGTCTGTGTTGCGGACTTTTCATGTTATATAAAATGCATAATAATTATAAAAATCGTACATATCTTTGGGTTCACTAATTGTACAATCGTCCCTATACAACAAAACAAACTAAAAAAAAAAACATGGATAAATGAAAAATGGTGAATTGTGTACCCTGTACTCTAATATAAACACAACTTTGGAATTGAATAATCCGTGAAAAATTCTAACTTGTTTTCAACTAAAAACTATGATGTATATAAATTCGATAAAAAAAGGCTTTGATGCACTGGGTGATGTACTCAAACCGGGCATCACATCCACACATCCAGCCGCAGCCAATCAAACAAATATTGTCAATACAGGTGTCCTTGGTATGGCAGGTGGTCAACAACAGCAACAACTCACACAGCAGCAACAACAGCAAATACAACAACAACAGCAAACACAACCTGCTAACACTGGCAAAATACTCACAGGCGATTTGGATAGCTCTCTTATGTCGCTAGTCGATAATCTCAATATAAATAAATCGAGCACTGCAAAGTGAGTAAAAAGAAAGAGCGATATATTTAAATATGCATAACTAAGAAAATATATCAATTAAAATACATTTCGATTATGTAAGGGAAATTAAAGCAACTCAAAACTTTACCGACAAAACTTTAATGCACCTAAAAATTGAATAATTTCTAGTAATAAATAATTCTGCAGTGAGGTTTGAACTTTACAATTCCAGTAGAGAAAGCTCAAATTAAAGAATGGTCGTTAAAGCTTTTATATCATTGCCAGCATGTGTCTTATTTCCTTTTGAAAACTCGTATCTAATAATGAGTTGACATACTTCGTTACGCTTGTTTAGTTAAAGTTGAAAACCCAATAGGAAATCAAAATTCTTTGTACATTTTTTGCAGAATTTTCAATGATTATCTATTTTGTGTATTCTGTTATGCAGAAGAAACTACAGCTTTGACTTTTCGATCATTTTTATAACTTTACGATAATAATTATTTTTATAAGGGTTTTTTTTTTTTAAGAAGTGCAAATGCACTTACGTACATACGAGTATAGTTAACATTCTCGAATAGACATAAATATAATAAATCAGCAATTCATGTTATCAAAATGTCATATACCATATTTACTTACTACCATCCGTATAGACCTGTGCAATGGAATTCACCGAAAAATACCGCGAAACCCGGTGCTAATTGGACACCTCAACCAATGGCGGCTACAACTGGTGCAGGCTATCGTCCAATGGTGAGTGTCAATCGCTTCTGGTACAATACTAAAAAGAAAAAAATGTCTTTTATTTCACGTTTAGCTCAGTTAAAATAGTACTAATTCTACTCTACTACTATTACTCCTACTACAGAAAATAATACTACTTCCAATTATACTAATCGTACTTGAAATATACGATACCAATTTGTATAATTACGACTTACCAAACCACCTACAAGTACCTAACATCCTAAAATTATGTTAAAACCAGCAAAAAAAAGAAAACAAAAAAAAAAACAGGAAAATGTATTTACCAAAATATATTTAAAAACGACAAAATTGTAGGAACTAAAGATGCAATAATACGCAACAAATATAATGAAAAAACAAAAACAAGAAGATATTTATCACTGTATGAAATTTTTGAAAAGAATATATATGTTTGCAAAAGCAAATTTGAAAGTATATTCCTCTCAAATCGATTTGCGACACCTATTTTTCATATTTTTATGTATATTTGTTTAACTTTCAGTTACTTTTTTTTTAACTATTTATGGTTTTTTTTATACTTTAGTGATTTTCATTGATTTTCTGTAATCTTAAATTTGTATATACTAAGCCAATACAAAACAAGTTAGTCGTACAATCAGTAAAATTTGGCTTTACACTCGACTGTGACATCTGCGTCTTAAAGCAAATGCAAAAGGCATATTCAATTGTTAAATACCAAATTAAATTATTTAATATGATAAAATCTGTTTTTCACGATATTTGTTATATTTTTGAGCTCAAGATAAAGAGTTCTTGTAACTGGTCTATGCAGATACCTTGTGCTAAGATTTTCAGTAACTTAGCTAAAAACCTGCGAATACTTAGACTTGTACGTCTTATGTGAAGCTAGACCAACTAGTTTGTTTATTTATATTTTTTTGCGTTTTCTTACATTTACTTTTATCATTTTCACATATATCCAAATTAATTTAGTGTTTAAACATTGTATCTTTTTTATAATAAAATCACTTACAATATCCACAAGCACAAATTATATACAATTTATAATCACAATGAAAATAAAAACATCCACAAAAAGGACACAAAAGCCGATGAAAAGAATTTTCGCTAATTGCTTTGAAGACTTTTTTATTAAGTATTTTCTTATCATTTATATTACTATCTTCTATTCTCATTTGTCTACTAAATGATTTCATTTATTTTTTAAATTATCGTTAATTTATAATTTTTCTATATTTTATCTTTTCTTTTCATATAACCTATGCAAAATCCCTTCATTCGATGCGTTCATTCGTTTACTTTATGTACACGATTAAACAAACGTTTTTGTGAAACTCTTTATTGGCAAAATTCATAAACACATACATATATGCATACATGCAATCACACGCATAAACATTAATTGAAATGAATTGATTTACATAAAATAAAAAATTAAAAAAAAAAATAAAATAAAAACCAAACCCCTATGCCAACGAATATAAAATTAAATATCTTATATTATTCTCTTAATCTTCTCTCTATTCGCTACATTTATTATTAATAAAATAAAACTAACTCAATTGACTCAATAATTAAATTAAAAAACAAATAAATTTCATTGACCATCCATTGCCAATTTTTCGTGTGATTTCCACGAATCTCAACACGAATGAATCTCTGTGTGTGTATGTACCACCTTGTTCACTTGTACCACCTTTACTACCACCATCACCACTACCACCACAACTACTACTACTACTACTTCCGTGTTATCTTAGGCACATGGCATGACAGTAAGTCCTGCGCCAATCACAATCCAAAACCATCCGTATATACACGCTAGTTATCCTGTTATACCAAATTATATGCAGGTAAGCTGTCTTTTACGTTTATCATTTTTACATTAGTTTTTGATTAATTTTTATTATTTAAAATTTTTGTTATTTTCTTTTCGTTACTTTAGACACTATCTATTTGTTTTATTTGGAATAGTTACAGTAATGGGTTCCTCCAATCCAACCTACTACACTTCCTATAATTTACAAAACTATTAGCTTTGGAAAATTGCCCCTAGTAGAGATACATAAAGTCATTACCCAGTTTGTAAGCATGCCTATTTAACCGTTACAACCTGCCTCTTACACTTTGCGAAATTCTGAAAACCTGAAAAGTGATATTATTTTTACTGTAGGCCTTGTTGAATAAAGCCGAAAATATAATATAAAGTTTGCCAAACAATTCCGAAAATGTGGATCTACAGCCAACAAAAGTCGTTTTCATTTTATTCGTTCTTAAAAATCCGTTAATTGGTTTCGTTAAAAAATATCATACGACGGCATAATTAAAGCAAAATATGTGGACAAAATATGTATGTGTGTATTAATTTTTTAAACCAAAAGTTCGGAGAATCCAATTTTTTACTCCTAAAGCTATGTAAAATTTAAAATGGACACTGTGTTAGGCTTAGAGAAATCCGATAAAAATAAAAAAAAAATTTATGGGCTATGGGTGGAAAATTTTCTAGAACACAAAAAAAAAAAATTAGTACAATATTGCGATTTCGACGAGACCTACATGAAAAAAAGTGTCACTTGAAGGAATTCCGTTTGAATATTTAGCACCGTGTTATACGTATATTTTCGTAAAGCTAATAAGACTTTTTAATTGTTGAAAAAATAGTTAGTTCTATGTACATATATACTCGTATATACCTACATACATTGTATAAAAAGTTCGCTAAAATGGCTAAAATTGCCATATATATCAGTATCTAGGTGGATATCAAGAGAGCCCAATCCCACATATTAATATAGGTTTGCTTTTTTTCTTAGATATTTTAAACTATTAATATCTGCTTTGCGTCTCTCGACACAGTCAACGCCGTGGTAATCTTATACTAGTCAACTTGGAAAGTAAATTTTTTTGTTCTTAAGTAATTTGTGGTGCGGTCGATCTTATCATATGCATTCGATGCAATATCTTTACGTGAGAAAGTGATTCGTTACTTTTATATATTTATATTTAAATTAATTTAATCATTTTAATCATTTGATTTTAATTATAAATTATTTTGTTTTAATTTATCAATTTTATTTTTTCTATATCTATCTCTCCAATATTTATTGAGTTTTTAAGTTGAATAAGTTTCATTTCGATTAGCGAAAATGAATTGCATACAAGCTAGTGTTACTACACTTCCTAACCACCTCTTCATCACCGTTATACTTTTCTATATATACCGCTATTAGCAGTTATAATATTTTCGGATATGACGCCTATTTAGTTTAGTTGCAAGTCTTCTCAATTCCTCCTACCCACTATCATTTACTATAACGCTTATTTTCATAATTTCACCCTAATACTCCAACTTTAATGTTATCGAACTTTTGTTTTTATTTTTGATTTGAGTTTTATTTTTAACTTCTTTGCTCTAACTATTTGAAATCCAAATATCTGAACGTATGTAGCTCTCAGACAGTGTTGCCCTTTTTGTGTCAAGAAAACGAAACGGAATTGTCTTCTATGCATGTGTTCCTTTCGGTTTACCTTTTATCAAAATTGATTGACCGATTACTAAATTAACATAAAGCTTTTACTATTTTACTAATGAATTATTTTCTAAACTTCTCTTTACTTCTTCTCATGACGCCGATTGCTCCTGCTGTGGTTATTGACCATCAATTTCACTGATCGCAACATATTTGTAGCAGGGAATGCCGGTGATGGGACAACCTATGATGGGCCAAGCCCCTTTGACTGGGGTGCAACCGACGATGGCGCCAATGATGGCAGCGGCGCCGCAAAGTCTACACAGTAGTGCGATAACAATGCAACCGCTGCAACAGCAGCAACATAATGGCGGCAGTAAAGGAGCGCCACTCGATCCATTCGGTGTATTATAAGATGGCTAATATGTTGGTCCCCAAGAACAACAAAACAACTATGTAAAACAACCCAACTATAAGCAGCAGAAGCAGCACAGCTGTTGCACTGATAGTAATATAAGGCCATCCAACAAAAAAAAAAAAAATGAAAAAACCAATCGACTTTAGGCGACAGCAGGAAACAAACATAAATAATTAGAAAGATGGATTAAGAGATAGCAAAGGGGGAATTATATATTAGATTTGTTGGAATTAGCTGGGATGGGAATCGAAATCGCCTTGCTATTGAATGGTGGCGCAAACGCGGAGCGTGTGGTGCAAGTTGTGAATGTCATTCATGAAAAAAATAAATAAATAAATAAATATAAAATATTAATAAAGAAGTTTGAAATTATAAATTCAAAAAAAAAAAAAAAATAAATAAATACAATTGAATAATATTATGATTATATTACATACATATAGACACATTAAAATTTAAATGCAACAAAACACAACAAAAAAAAATATGTAAAGATGGCGCGTTAAATTTAATAAAAAAAGAGAAAAAATAAACGATAAAGATATATATATATATATTATTGTATTGTACTATTTCTTATAACTATTCTATTATATTATGTAACTACAAGTACCATTACCAATCACAAAGAGCTATTATTGATCGATGAATGAAATAACAAAAATGAGCATAAATTACATTCAACATACTATTATTATACATACTTACACATAAATATGAAACAAATATAAGCATCAAAATTCTCATATACATACATACATATGTATATGGAAAATGCGATAAATTCTGTGTATTAGTAATGTAAGGGCAAAAAAAAAAAGCTAAAACAAATACATGCATATATGGATAAAGAGCATATATAATAGAATGAAGTAGTACGATATTTATAAAGTTAAAAAAAAAAAATAGTAGAATTCCGATTGTAGTCGTTGTGTATTGTAAAAAATGGTTGGACATGAGACATATGTAGCTATATTTGTGTAAAGAAACTGTTAATTTACATAATTATTAGAAGTCTAATCCGAAGCGAATGCTGGATAAAGTATATAGAAAACAAATCCAATAAAGCAGTATATTGCCATGTTGAAAATGTGCAGAAATGTGCATAGTACAGTACATATATGTATTCATAAATATATATGTAATTATATATTTATAAGAGAAGATAAAAAGGCCCGAAAGTTCAAGTTAATATGCAAGAAAGAGATATAATAATTACTGTTGCAAAATGCCTGATATATATACATATTTACGTATATATGTATACATTACGATTGTTTAAGCATTTTGCGTTAAACAAAATGTCCGTCATTACTTCTACAGTTCTCGCCTATACATTTTTAACTGTTAATATGTCATGTATGTATGTACTATTAATGTTGATGTTAAGCTATTGCATTTGAATTCAATTCAGTTGAGTTGACGGTGCAAATGCTGGACCCAATAATTGCTTAGTTAAATTTTGCTACGGTAAAATCGCAGTATTTCTGAAGCCCATGTTATACGAAGCTTTGCATGCAATAGTTTAGATTTTTTTCAATTATCGATGTTGTGCACATTTATAGAACTTTGTTTAACACTTGTGATTATGTAAACAATCATGCCTACACAAATCCGTTCATCATTACATCATTACGTCTTGGCCATAAAGGACAACTTTAAAATTGTCCGTATATAGCTTCTGAAATTAATCAGTTTAGCTGACATTTACATATTTTTAGTATATCTATTGTATATTAGAATGATACTGGCGTCCTGAAGGTGAGGAGCTCTTTGCGAATTACACGAAAATCCATTTTTGGTTTAAATTGTGTTAGTTAAAAATTGACTATATTTTTTGTTTGTTAAGAAATATTAAGGTTTCTGGTTTTGTGTTACAATTTGAACTGCAGCATGCATACATATAGTCATCCACTATAATCGTAAAATATTAACATTCCAAATTAAAATTACAAAATGAAAAATTTAATTAATCAGTTTTATATATTGTATTTAAAACTTGTCATAAATTTGTTTATAAAACTTGCATTATTTTGTATATTAATTTAATTTATATAACTTCCACGCTCTTGTAATGATCTGTCTTTTATTAAGTTCCTCTTCTAAATGTATCTTAAAATGGCTTTCGTGATTCACAGCTCGTATTCATATTAAAAATTGTAATTATTTTCTATTTTATTACAATATTAAAAAATATACATATATGTATAGATTTATTATTTATAATTTACATTTAATTTTGAATAAATAATATATTATGATAATGTTAAATATCTGTATCAATATATACATATATTATGTGTACATGCATATGCATATGTATCATTACGTATCTACGTCGCTACAAGCTTGAAATTACAAATTTTGTGTGTAAATACATCAAAATAAATATTACAATCATTATGCTTGGATTTTAAAATTGGCGGAAAGTTTGGAGCAATAAAAGAATATTTCCATAAACACCCAATACCGTTAAATATATGAACTGTTTTGTGTAAGTTAAATGATAATAACGAATCGTAGCTTATGATTGTAATGATGATGATAATAAAAATAAAGAAATATTAAACTAATGTTTTCAATGATTTTATATATTTACATACTAAGTCCGTGGCTTCGGATTAACACCTACGTTGTAATGAAATATACATACATATATATTATATAATTGGCATTTTGTAACCGCTCCTCCTCCAATTTGTGGTATTGTGTTTTGATGTTTTCCAAACAAATGGAGAGACCTACAGTTTATACTATGATAAGCCGATTCCGAACGGCTAATTGTTTTTTTTGAGGAGCCTACATATATTTCTTTTCAGAAATACACTCGGAGCTTAATATTCCCTACCGAGGGGCGACCGCAGTTTCAGAAAATTTAATTTAAAATTTAATTTGTATTAATTTTCCATAACTTGGATTTTGGTTGCATCAGGATTTGATTAATTTCCTTACGCTCGTTCCAATTCGCAGACTTTCTGACTAGTGTAAGAAATTCACGTTGACCAAGGCCTTATTATTTAATAATGTAAGCCTTTTGGACTTCCATCGTCTATGAAAATGAATGTCGCGTTAAAATGAATGCTTCGTGACCCCGCAGCCATTCATTTATCCTTACTTATTGGCGTCTTATATTTCAGTTGATATTGCCACCATCTTAATGTCCTCAAGAACTCATGCGATCCGGGTAATGTCCCGTCGAGTGTACTTAAATTTTGCCCTAAATCATATTCAATGCTTCATATAAAAGCAAAATTTATTCTCTTTATATGTTACTTACAGAAATGTGGTAGTAGATTTTGTGCAGTGAATTACAGGGGATTGCAAACTTATGTTCTATACCCAAAGTTTTCGAAACTACAATAATAACAAATCAATTTGGCCCTTCTGTGACATCTACTATTGTCATCTCTCAACAAGGTTTTGTAAAGGCAAATTTTCTTTATTTAAATAAAATCGATTCTTTCGCGTTTCTTCCATCCTTTCTTAGGTGGATTTAACCCTCATAATTGGTAGAAAATAAAGTCTAATTTTAAATATTGTACATCATGTCAAATAACAGTAACAAACGGTGTTCCTCAAGTTTTTCTCTGGGAAATCATTCTAATTCTTATTTCTGAGTTCTATTTTTAACTAAATTGATAGGAGGTGTTACGAATAGACGATTCCCACTTATCGAACTTACGTTTACCACCCCTCTAATATCATCTAGACACTTAAGGCTTTTTTCATTGTGTTCATGCATTAATTCCTCTGACTCGTTTTTTATATCAAAACCTACTAGCTAATGAGCTTTAAATAATTAAGTAATTTCCTTCCCTTTCATATTTCATATAAAATATTTATAATCTGAGCTGCTTAGTGTAAGAAGCAAGTGTAACCCCAATATTCCCCGATCGGTTCTCGGGTCCGGATTTTTCGATTGTTCCTCAACCGTGCTCTCGATGTTGCCATCGTTCACCCTTTTGCAACATATGTCGGGACGGGAATAACGTGGGCGCCGAGTATGGAAGAGATACGAGAGTACTGTGTGAAACAACGCAGACCGTCGTCAACAAACTGATAGAATCTCATAAATGTGGCTTTGATCTGTTAAATCCACCATTAACCAGATATTTATTATTCGCGAAACCCGTGAAAAGACGATGGACACACGCCACCTCTGTGTTGACTTCAAAGCAGCCTTGGACTCGGCTCTCACGTCACTATTGACAGTCATAACTTTGAACTCATAAATAACTTTGTCTATCTTGAAACCCACATCAACACCAACAACAATGTCAGTCTTGAAATCCAAGACAGAGTTGGTACTGCCAACAAGTGCTACTTTGCGCTGCATAGGCAATTGAAAAGAAAGTCTTCTCGCCTCGACGAACAAAAGCCAAACTCTACAAGTCGCTCATCACTCCCATCCTAGCAGTTGCGGAGGCATGGTCGATAGCAACATGTGATGAATTGATGTTGGAAATTTTTGAAAATCTTATTCATGATTTTTAGTTCTTTGTTCATCGGTAACGGATAATACCGCAGACGATGGAACGATAAACTGCGTGTGATATATGGCGACATTGACATAGTCAGCGAATCAAGAGACGGTAGTTATGCTGGCTAGGTCATGTGGTCCGAATGGAAGAGAACACGCTACCTTTGAGAGTATGCGATGCAGTACGCGCCGGTGGATGCAGAGGAAGAGGAAGATTTTATAGAAATGACCTAGTATTGAAATTAGTGGAAATGTTAGTCATAGTTAGTGAAATGTATTCGTTTAAAGCAGGAGACTGTAAATAATAATTATTTGTGTTTTTTTTTTCATAATAAAATTATCTACTTAGAAAAAGTAGTGTAAACAAAAGGTTCTATCAGAAGGCGACTTCAAATATGAATTAATTTATCATTTGATGACTCTTCTTAAGATTTTAATTAGACAATAATTATTCTTTTTCAATCTTTACCTAAACATAACAATTAATAATTAATCTGAGCGAAAAAAAAACGAAAAATCAAAAAATAATAATTATCCTTCTTTACGGAAATTTTTGGAAAAATTGATATGTTATAAGCTCACAGGCTGGTTGGAAAAGGCGTCATTAAGGTTGAGCCAAGAAACGATCAACAAATAATGATTATTTTCTGAG